CGAAGATTTCATGATGACTTTTCATTAGCAGGAATTAATTTAGGTTATAAATGTACTTCTCATTCTGAAGTTAAAGAAGAAGGCGAGGAAACAGAAGAAAAAAGGGAAGATGATTGATAATGTTCAGAGGTTAAATGTTAAGGGGTATATTTATTAAAAATAAACATTTTACTAAAAATTCTTTATTGGCACTATCAATTATAAAATTTTTCCTTCCAAGGGAAGTTCTTCATGATTTATTATTTTCCTGAGATGATAATCATATACTATAACATTAGCTAATATTATCAGTGTTATAACCAACAACACTGTTAGCACTGTTACTGATATTGTCTGGTTTCCTCTTGAGTTTGCTGTAAATATAATAGAAAAATTACCGATTACTTACTTGTATTAGTAGTGTACAGTCTAAATTCAGTTAAAAATAAATTTATAATGTAAATATTATACCAAACTTTAATTAACTTACGAAAAATGTTACATTCTTTGCTGCATTTGATCCATTCCATGGTATTGTTGCTTTTAATAATCATATTACAATTCTTGCATTTGGTCCATTCCATAGTATTGTTACTTATAAGAGATTTTCTCCTCTTGCTCTATGAAAAAATAATAACATTTTAGTAAAAAAATATATATTAAAGCAAAAAAAAAATATATATATTAATATCCTACACTAAAAAAAAAACAATTACAAAAATTTGAAACGCTTGTATATTCTTCTGTATTGAAACATACTTACAAATAAGTCTACATTAAGAATACTTTTATATTCTTCAGTATTGGAGTCAACAGTTGCATAGTTGAAGAAATGTTCATTAAATCTGTATGTTATATTCACTTGAGTATACTGTTCATCCATCTTATACCAGAGACAGAATATTTCTTCATTCTCAAAATTGAAGAATATTTCCTTCTGTCGTACTGAAGAGGTACAGTTTACTGGAAAAGATAACAAATGATGATAAGTATAATGGAGAGACACAGTAATAAAAAAATAATGTATTAAATATAATGATGCAGTCAGTAGCCTCCATCCTTCAAGTGTATTTATATATATAGAATTGAGATAAACTAACCTTCACTTGCTGATAATAGCCTCAGTAGCAGTAAATCGAGTAGTATTACAGTCAATATCATCCTTGTACTGGAAGAACAGAACACACCACTTTTTAAAAAAAAATAACAACCAACCATCAAGGAGCAGCAGATTTAAATATCTAGCAACTTCCTGTATGTTTCAAGAGTTGCCATTTTTTAATAACCTGATTTAAAAAAAATGGATAATTATAGAAAATATTTTCATACTTAATAAATTTTAAAATTTTTATCATATTTTTATATAAAAAAATGGACACTAATTTATATGAAGACATTGATATTATTATACAAGAAATATTAGCTACTTTTCACGCTCAAGTAATGGACTTCGACTTTAACAATATTAATAATTCGTTAAAAGAAAAAAAAAATTTTACTAATAGTTATGATATGATGAACAGAGAGTTTGAAAATATAAAAAATTTAAAAACAAAAATAGGTTTATCATTATCTAATAAAATAAATAATACTCTTTCAAATTTATATGATAATAAAAAATTTGAATCAATCTATAATCATATTGTATTATTTCTCTGTGGTGATGAAACTGATCTATTTACAAGCTCTCATACATTTATCAGACTTTATATTCAAACAAACTATCCACATTATTTATTTTACAAATATAAAAAAATTGTTAAAAGTTTACTTATAGATTTGGGATTTGAGAGTGAATATGAATTTACAACTCATTTAAAAAGTATTTCTACTTATACACAATTAGAAAATATTTTTTCTAAATTAATAAAATGGTATAATCAATATCCAATTTCACATCTTCAATTTATTAAAAACACATTTCATATAATAGAAAATGTAAAATCTTCAGAAAACCAAGACATATTACCAATTATTTATCTCTTAGAAGAATATAATGATAAATGCATTGGATGTTTTAGATACTATTTAAAGAATGAATATTCAGGTAATAATAATGGTGGTGGTATTTCTCTAGTAAGAAGTATATTTTTACATAAATTATGTGAAAAACATGATGGTTTCAAAGAATTTAGTATTGCAGATATTGATGAATTTAATAAAATTGAAAATAAAATTCATCATCCTAGTTATCATCCTTTTGTTGCTAAAGATGAATGTAATCCTAATAAGAGAGAGATAAATAAAAATATATGTTATGATATGTGCAATTATCACAATACTTTAAATTCGTATAATTTTCATAATGAAAGAGCAAGAGTGAAAATGGATTCTATTTATGATTATAAATATATATATAAATGTGAGAATGGATCGTTTTTAAGTAAAATAGGTATTGCAATAGTTAATTATAATAAAAAACAATTTAGTAAAGAAAAAAATTATATAACCGTTATTAATAAAAGTTGCAAAAATTATTGGTTGATTATTTTTATAATATATTTCATTATACTTGTTATTATACTAATAGCTAATAATAAAAAAATTTCAAAATTATACAGTAATTAGATAAGATCGAATTATTATATTTTTCATTATTTTTTTACTTTCTGATAAAAAATTTCAAATTATTACACTTTTTTTTAGGAAGTTTATTAAAACCTTTAGAAGTAATAATCTCATTTAATACTTTTGTTGTTAAAATATTATCTTTTTTATATACAATTTTTCTTCCTTTAAAATTTTTTACTATTTCATATACTATTTCACTATTATAACTAGGATGGTGAAGAAAAAGTACTTGGTATTTTTTCTCTTTTTCTAAAGCATCTTTTACTCTTATATAACATTTAGTAGGAATTCTAGATATTATATATGTTTCTTCATTATAATATTCTTCCTCTTCTTCTTCTAAGCTACACTCAATATTAATTAATTGTACATTTATGCCATTTTTCTGTAAAACTAATTCTATAAATGCTTCTTTGGGAAATAAACTTAAAACATTGTCAGTATTTATAAAATTAATCAAAGTATGGTACTCGTTGTGATCAATTATATCTTTCCAAGGTGGTTTTAAAGATAATAAATAATTATTTAATTTGCAATTATGTTGTTGTTTTTTGCTTTTCATCATCAATAAAAATAATATTTAGTAAAAAGAAAAAATTGATATTTATATTCATTATTTTAAAAAATAATAACACCACTGCACTAAAAAAAAAACTTAAAGAAAGGAAATAAAAAATATAAATAATATTAAGATTTTATTGGTTTTATTGTATATCTTATAACATTTCTACAAATTGGACAATTTTTTAACTGTTTAGAACAATTCATACATGCAACCATATGTGAGCATGGTAAAAAAACCAATTCTATTAAATTATCCATACAAATTTTACAAATATTCATATCATAATCAGTTCTTTCTAATGATGATGATAATAATAATTCATTATTAATATTTTTTTGGTTTAAAACTGATCCATTACAGTTAGGAAATTTATCTATGTATGATAAGTTAACAATTTCTGAAATGCAATTTTCAATATTAAAAAAGGGTAATCCAGTTTTTACAAGCTTTTTTTTAAGCACTTTTTTTACTTTGTCTGGAGAATAATCATTGCAACTGCAGACTTTATATAATATCTAATTTCATCAAAGCATTCAAATCATTCTCTGTTAATATAGATTTAACTATAATATTAACAGTAGGATAACTGTGAATATATGGAGGTTTTTCTTGTTTAATCCTTTTTATAAACTCTCTTCCTTTATTTATTAATACAAAATTACATTTAGGATACCATCGTGCATGTTCATTCCAAGGGATATCTTCAGCTTCCCAGTTACGTAATCCACCTCCACAATAAAAACATTGTACATGATCACTTAAATTACGATAGAAAAATCCTGCTTCAGCTAGTTGTTCTGCTCTTTGTTTAAGAGTGTTAGGCCACCCTCTAAAACTTTTAAGTCTACTCTTATACTTGTGATAGTCATTTCGATAGGGTAAAGCATATTTAAATAATTTTAACATGTCACCTCCTCCTAACATATCATCATCATCATCATCATCATCATCATCATTATTATCATTATTGGGTCCCTCACATTCTGCATAAGATCCTGGCATATGTCTTGGAATAATATTGGGAAAATCATCAATTACATCCAATAAAAATGATTTAAATACAAATCTATTATCATTACTATCATCATATAAGGCTAATTCTGATATTCTTGAGATTATTTATCCATGTTCAAGTGAAACATTTCCTACAGGTTCATTCATTTTAAATGGACAGTGAGGAAAATGTCTCTTATGTTCACCTCTTGGCGTATCATTCTCTTCCCATTTTGTTAAAATACCCTTACAAAAAACACAAACACATTTATCATCTGTTCTTAAATAAAAAAATCCATCACGCGCCAATTCACTTGGTTTCACCCATTCTTCTATTGGCCATTCGATAAATGTATCTAACCGTTCTTTTTCAAATCTTAAACTTCCATATGAATTAAATTTCTTAGATCTTCTATTCAAACTCTCAATAGTAGTAGTAGTAGTAGTAGTATCTATTATAGAATCCATTTCTATTCAGAAATTTATCTGAAAATAAATAAAAATATTTATATAAATATGTCTTTAGTAAAGAATTAATTATTATAAAATTTTTACATTAGTCAGTCAATTGAACTATATTGCTTATATATATAGTCTAATGGAATGATAAATTTTAACTTACTTCTTTCTACAAAGCCCTTTCTAAAATTAAAGTTATCTGCTTATTAGGCATGACATATATATATAGTCTCTACTGAGTAGATTTTTTGTTTTAAGATAGATTCAAGTTACTTACGAACAGATTTTTATACTGAATCATAATTTTTTTTTAATCATTTATATAAAAGAGTAAGGAGTGAAGCTAGAGTCATCACCCAAAAATAACAATGGAAACATTGAAACTGAAAAGTAGTGATGGTGATATTTTCATTGTGGATACAAAAGTTGCTTGTATGAGTAATTTATTGAGTGAAATGATAAATTGCATTGAAGCTAGTAATGATGATGAAGTAATTCCATGTGATAACATAAATACACCTATTTTGAAAATGGTTATAGACTACTGTAAATATTATACAGAAAATCCACCATCTATTCTTCCTTTAGATTATGACAATGCTACTTCACTTAATGACATTTCTTCTTGGGATTACAATTTTTTACAAACTGAAGATAAAACTATGTTATTCGATTTAGTGAATGCTGCTCATTTTTTAGATATTAAAAGTTTAGAACAAGTGACATGTAAGATGATTGCTAACGAAATTAAGGGAAAAACTACAGAACAAATTCGTCAGATGTTTAAAATTGAAAATGATTTTACTCCAGCTGAAGAAGAAGAACTTAAACGTAATACTGAATGGGTTAAAGAAAAACCATTTACATGTCCTGATCATCCCATTTAATCATCATAAGATGAAAAAATCAACTACAATTACTAACCAAGAGAATGAAAAAAAAAATAATATTAAGTTACTTTTACCAATATTGTTTTTTTTTAAATGAATAAAAAATGAAAGGTAAAGGCCAATACCTTTTTAATTTAAAACTTTTTTACAATAAAGAAAATAATCAAAATTTTCCATCAATTTTATGCTTACCTACATTTATTTTCTATACTTTTTCTGTTATATTAAGTGATTTTTTAAAAATTATGCATCCTAAATATAAAAATATTAATGATAATTATAATTTAAAAAAAGCTAATGATATACTTAGATCTAGTTTTTTTCATACTTTACCAACATAGTACATTTAATTGCTAGTGATGATGAAACAGAAAATATTCTATATGTTCACCTATGAATTTCATACTATATTTTTAAAAGAAATTCAAAAATCTTATTGACAATGAAAAATACTCAATTCCATCAGAAATTTTTGCTCTTGAAACATACATGAAAAATGAAGAAAGTCGCCAATTATATTTACAAAAGCTTCATTTAAATATTTGAAGATAAATGGAGTAGAAACCCTAGCTGATCTTATTAGTAAACTAGATGCAGATGAAATAGCTCATCCTCATTTAGAAATAATTGAAAAAAGTAATTCTTTTCCCGGATCACTTCATTACACATATATATAATACAGATACATATCCAATTCCCCAATTTTATGGTCCTAAAGATGGGACCCTTTTATTGAAAATATTTCATAGTTTAGCTGAAAAAGGAGAATTAAATGATATATATAAAATGGATGAAAATATTAAATATACTCTACATTGCTACATTAGTTTATTACCAAAACATTATTCCATGTGCAATATGTAGTCAACATTATTATCTTAATATTAAACCTAGTAAATATTAGATAATTTATTTGATAATGAAAATGTAAAAGTATGCTGTAAGAGAGAGGGTAGCCCACTTTATAATTTCGAAACAGTGGACTGCATGTTGATAATGAATATATCAGTTGCATGAAAAACCATTATATATATACACACACCAGTAAATGTAATGCATTTGTAAATTATAAGGAAAAAAAATTAATTAAAAAAAATAGTATATGGCATTTTTTAAAAAAAAACGTATATGACATCATTTTTTTAAATAATAAAACAAAGTAAAATATTTTCTTTTTTTAGCTTTAGTTACTTATTAGAATTCCTAGAGTAACTTTTGCTTTGCTTCAGCTAAATAGTAAAAAAATTTATTTTTTTTTTTAAACAAATAATAAAATTTTTTTTTAAAATTTTTTTTATTTTTAAAATATTTTTTTAGAAAAAAAAAAAAATTTTTTTATATTTTTTGTTTTTTAGATTAGTGTGCCATGGATTTACTAAATAAAACAAAGCTAAGAAGAATATGAAAAAAAAAATTGATGGAAAAAATTTTTTAAAAAAAATAATTCATCACTTAGTCCTGATTCCCTTAAAAAGTATTTTTAATGCTCAAATTCTCATTTTAAAAAAATATGCTAAACCTGGATCATTTAACACTACCATAAATGAAGTCTTAAAAAACTAAATAATTTTCCCAGAATTGACATTCCCCACCTTTTCCCCCCATCTTTGGGGAGATCCTTGATAGTACTAAAAAAAAATTTTAAACCAAAGATTTAAAAAAACTTTCCCATCTTCCTACCCCAAAAAACTAAGAATTGTAATAGTGACTCTAAATGGAATTGTAAAGAAAAACCCCCAAAGTACCCCTCCACGTAAAACCTCCACGTACACCCCCAACCAAAAGTCAAATAAATCCCCCTGAAAAAATTTAAAAAGAATGAAGGATTTTTTTTTTAAAAGATGGGGGGTTGATTGGTTTTATTAGTTTGTTGGTCTTTAAATGTATTTGTATTAAATTTAAAAATTGGGTTTTTCCTCTAATTATCCAAAAAATTTTTTTAAATTTTCATTTTTCATGCATAAAATTCTAATAGTAAATTAGTTTTTTTTTTCAAATTAAAAATAAAATTTAAAAAGTACTTTTGGACAGTTTAATTAATTAACTTTTTTTTTTTTTTATTAATATTTAAAGTAACATTTAAAATTAAAAAATTTTATTTTTTTTTAAAATTTCAAAAAGAAACCAAAACTTGGGAAAATTAAAAGAGTTTTTTGGGCTATATAAGGATATATGCTTGGAAAAGTAGAAAAATTAAAAAATTTTTTTGGAATTCCTGTTTCATTTAATATTATAGGGTTCTTTAAAAAATGAAATTGGTCGAAGTAAAAAATTTCTGGTGCTAAATGATCCAAAATAAGAGTTGTTTTTGATGCTTCTGATTATATTCATTTGTTTTTTGTTACTCGTGATAACAAAATTTTTTTTAAAAAATATTATTTTATTTAAAGTTAAAGGGGTTAAATTAAACAGTTATACCCAATTTAAGATGAAAATAACTACACTGGTCCCTTTAATTATGGGTTTAATTTCTCTTAATGATCTTTAAAAAGGAAAATTATCGAGGGTTTTGTTGCACGGTTTTTTTGTAAAGGGGCTCAGCAATGTTTTCGTTTTTATAATTTTTTTAAAAATAATTTTTTAAACCTTTTGGGAAATTTTTTGCTTTTGGGAAAAAATTTTGATTTTTATAATGTTTTTTTGGGGTTAGCAAAGAAAATTAAAAAGGGAAAATTTTCCCAAACCAGAGGGGTTATTTAAAAATTTTTTAAGAATCTAAAGGAAAATTTCTCTTCAATTTTTTTAGCAGTGATATTGATAAATTTTTTCCACCATATCGTATACTCTCATTTGATATTGAAGCTAGTCGACATGATTTATTGGTGTTATACCTCGTGGTGATAGTCCTCATGATCGATTAGTAGTTACTTCATTCAAATAGTACAGTTATTTATCCTGAATATCCTACTAAATTAACAAACTTAGAAACTCTATTAGTTGTATATTATCCTAATTGAAAAGAATTTAAAAAATCTATTATTACCCAAGGATGGAATTTCTGCTGAAATTGAATTTTATGAAACTGAAAAAAAAGTATTAAATAGATCTTTAGAAATACTTAGTAATCCTCAATATATTTTTTGCCACTGGATATAAAAACAGATGGATTTGTCATCCTTTTCTTTTTAGACGAGCTTTATTTCATGGAATTTACCTGGACATATATTTAATAATGAGTATCGTCTTAAATCTTATTGCTATGATATGGTTTAGTTCCTTATATAACTCCAGCTTGGATATTTTAAAAATCGACGTTATGATGTGCCGTAAAAAAATTTTTTTCCCATAGGAAAAAATGTTGAACCTCCTTCTGATAGTCTAGATGCTTGTGCTGAAGCTCTTCTAGATCGAAGAAGCCAAATTTTAATATTACCGATATAAATCTAATGTATAAACATCTCGAATATGAAAATATAGAACCAGAAACCATTTTTTTTGAAAATTTTCTCAATTACTGTACTATAGATGTTGATTTAGTTACTCAATTAAATGGAATATTAAATAACAGTAAGAATTACTATGGGTTTATCAAGAATGGCTGATCTTAATCCTAATGATTGTTTAGGTCCAAATTCAACAACTATTGTTAAACGTTATATTATAAATACTTTTATTCAATTACATTGCACCAAATGATTTTAATTTGCTTAATTCAGGAAAAGCATCTTATTATTCAAATATTAATTATAAGTAGGGTTCGAGAAAATCTGCCTAAATATTATGTACTGTCTACACTCAATGTTCATAATATGGATAGGGGGAAAAAAATACATAACAAAGGTGCTGAAGTTCGTAGAGCCTCTTAAAGGTGTACATGTATCTCTAAAACTGAAGCTCTTTATGTTGGTGGGGGGGCTTCACTGTATCCCATATAATTAGAGAGTTATACTTTAAATCGAGGATTTTTAATGCGTATTCCTCGAGATAAAATTTCCTGAATTAATACAGAAGATTTTCATATATACAAATGGAAGAAGAATCCTTATTCTATTATACTAGGTTAAAAGTTAAGAGGATCGATCCTATATACAGAATCACCCTTTCGAAAAATTTGTGAAAGACTAGTGAAATGAACGAGCATATATGAAATAAATTGGAATGATAACGTCAAGCAAATGCTCTTAAAATTATGGTGAATTCAATATATTGAGCAATGGCTTTCATTGGCAATCTTTACTGATGCTTAAGTACCGTGAATGTTAACAGCTTTGGTCAATATCCATTTTAAATAGGGCTCGAATTTTTTTACGAAGAACTAACTGATAAAACGCAAACTTTGTAACGGAGAAACTGATTCCATCTTTATAAAAGTGCCTTTCATTAGGTACGGGGAAGAATAGCAACATTTATACAATCAAAATTTAAGAAAAACACTTACCCTTTTCCTGATTTTCTTAAGTTATCATTTGAAAATAATCTGGTGTCTAGTTTTAGCCACAAAAAAAAACATTATAAGACAACTCAAGAATATGAAGTTGGCAATAAGTGTATTTATTTTAAAAAAAAAATAAGTGGGTTAAAAAGAGAATAAAATTTACAGAATCATAGTGATATGAATAATAAATTCAACAGATTTTTATTATTTTAAGAATAATAAAATGAATAACAATAATAATTCTGATGATAATAACCATTTTCTCTTTGTTAGAATGTATAAAAACATTAGATTACTGATTGGTTTAATAAGATATAATGGAAAATGAATAATAATCTATTTAAAGAAAAATTAATGCATATTCTGAATGGCGATTTAAAAAACAATTAAAAATCGACCAGCTTCATACTTATACATCGAGCGGAAGCTTTGTATTAACTATTGTTTTAGGGTATGGCCAAGCGCTATAGGCGAGAGAAGACGCCAGAGTAGTTATATATAGATAAGGATGTGCGATATCAGATGCGCAGGGCGACGGCCTTTCAGTAATCAGACTCTCATTGAATACAGATACACAACCTTATCAACTATAGATTCCACAAAGATACATACAGATGGGTCACTAATTGGATCGTGTTTTTGTTCACTAATGT